TTGGCACAGGGCTCTGGTCCAGAGGCCGATTTCCAGAGACATTGGAATTGAGGTCACAGGGATTTGGGTGAGGGTGTTGCAGGAGCTGAGAAGCATCTCAGCCATGGCGAGATGACAGACCTGAATGTCCAAGCAACCACGAATGATGTTCGGGAGCTCCTGCTCTTTGTGCTCAGCCCCAGGGGCCTCGCGTGGCGGAGCCGCGGGCAGCGCTGCAGCGCTCCTGCGCTCAACCCATGCTGCAGCTCCCAGCCTGCCAACTGCGCTCCCCTCCTTGCCGCCGCCCCATGCCCTCCTCAAGCCGCGCTGACCCAGTTCCCAGGGACAGAGCCGCCGCGGGCGCCTTGTTCTCCCCAGGGACACCCACCCCGTCCTGCCTTTCCGCGCGCTGCCTGCTCATTACCCCATCTCCACCCAATCCATGCCAGGACGTGCCAGGCCTGTCCTCACCCAGGAGGAGCCTCCCTCCACCCTCCTCTGCTCCATTCCTTCTCTGTCTGCTGTGTCCCACCCTGGCGCGACGCGGGCTCCGGGCACCCTGCTCTGCCCCTCACCCCCTGCACAGCCTCCCCGCTCTCCGCTTCTCCACCCGCAGCCCGGGTGACAAAGCAGCCGGGGACACACCCGGGCAGAGAGCGGAGCCGCGGGATCGGCCCCGGCCCCAGCATTCGGGTGACTGATTAACCAGGCTGCAGCGCTGCGCCCCGTTCCAGGCGGCTCTGCGAGCGCAGAGCTCAGCACTGCAGCTGAGAGCCCGGCCGAGCGGGCAGAGCGCTGCCGGGAATATCAATCAGCGGACCTTGGAGCCGGCGGCTGCCCACACAGCCAGCGCTTTCATTGCACGGAGAAGCCGCGGCTTGGTGGACGGAGCTAGTGCGGGGAGCGGCCCCGTGCCGCAGAGCGCTCGGCATCCCTCGGCAGGCACGCCGAGATCCTCCACATCCCATCTAGGGAAGCCCCCTTGGGCCCCAGACCAACCCCGGCTCCCCGGCAACCGGCAGGGAAGAGCCTGCAGGTGCGAGAAGTGGGAGAGGCAGGGAGGAAGAGGCTGGTGTGGCTGAGTGAAGCGGTGAGCAGGAGCTGAAGCCGGTCCGCGCAGGGCACACCCTGCAAGGGAGCAAAGGACATGGTGACAAGGGTCTGCTAGTGGGAGCAGGCACTGCCAGGTAGGAGAGACCGGATACTCTCCTGGATGGGAACAAGACAGCAACGCTGCTGCATCCTTGCAGACATTCTGCTTGGAGAAGAGTCATTACCCATCTAAGGCTAGAGACCGTGTACACACCACTGTCACCTCCCCATGCCATGCAGTCTGCCCATAATGTCTGCGTCACCTCTTTGGTACCTTTGCGCATTCCACATCCCACCAGTGCCTTCTGCCACTGCTCGCAGAGCTCCCACCTCTCTCCTGGATACCTCATCCTGGAGGAGGGACAGGCTCCGTGCCCCTGACACATGCCACCTACCCCGAGTCACCGCTGTCACCCCCCGCACGTGGATAAAAGCACATCCGAGGACCAGCCCTGTACCATAGCCCCAAGGGTCCGACAGGCACATTCCCTCGGGCGGTCACTGCCTGCCAATACCAAATCCAAACCGCTGTAATTGATCTGGATATTATAGGGTACAATGTGATTTGCAGCGTCTGGAAGCTGCTCCCGAAACGGAGTCTTCCTAAAACAGGGGAAAACAGAGCAGGCCCCCCACAAACCTTCACCTGCAGCTTCTCGCTGGATCCATTTATCAGCTCATTCCACATGAACGACCTTGAGGAGATCCGCTGACCCAGGACAGTAGGAGACATTCCCAGACGTTTGACAACACCTAAGCCTGCAATTTATGGACTCTCTAAGCTAAATTCTGAAATAGGACAATTTCATTTCTGTCCATTACAGTTACAATATTCCTCTTATCCCTCCTATAGAGAGTAATTGATATTGCACTGTGCTCCCGGGCCTGCAGGCAGCTCCAAGCGCCTCTGCTCAGCCCGCTGGAGCTACCACTACTCAAGCCAGCCCCTCCGATGGCGCAGGAGCTGCAACGGGTCTAAGCAGGGATGGATTTTTGCAGTGAGGAAAGGACGTAGGAAACCTCTGCAGTTCTGCAGTACAAAAAAAAAAAAAAAAAAAAAAGCCTTAAAGCACAGAGCCTGGGAAAAAAGGAAAAACACAGGAGAGAGGCAGCCACTCCCCACCCTGGTGTCTGAGATGTTGTGTTCTCACTCCAGATTCATCAAAGAGCTGCTGAGGGCGAGGAAGGAAGGGAAATTTCTCTCAGAAAGTTCCCAAAGGGAAGCAGATAGTAATGCTGGGCCAGGCCCCCAGACTGCCCAGCCCAGCCCTGCAGGAACTAGTTACTGAGGTGGTTGCTGGTGTCTCCTTGTCTCTTTTGTAGCCATCATTCCTCCCCGCAGGCCCCAACCCAGCCTGCCTAGAAGGCCCAGACGCTTCCTGGACAGTTCATGATAAAAACTTACGCTCTTAGCAAAACAAACTAGAAAGCTGGGAGAGCCAGCGCTGGCACAGAGCTGAAACCACCAAAGCCAGATTCGCTGGTTTCCCCAGATGATCTAATCTTCTCCAGGAGTCTGGTGCGGCTGGTTGGAACTCTTGGGAAAGGGGTGAATCTGGTGTGACTGGCACCAGGATTTCCGTCCCGGTTTGGAACAAGGATCCTGAGGAGGAAGAGGAGGATGAGGAGGGGGTGCCTGGGAAGGGGAGACCTGAGATCTGCCCCATGCTGGAGGGAGGGCTGGTGAAGGACAGCCCCATCTGCGCTGTCCGAGGACTGGCAATGGCGTCGCTATGCTGCTCTTCCTACCAGGAATTCTCTCCAACCCCTTTGGAGACAAGAGCCTGAGGACAAGTGGTGTCGGTCCCAACCTGCCTGCAGGGAATGGCAGAGCCGCCTATCCAGAAGCAGACGGTCTCAGCGGGGAGCATGGCCACCCGGCTCCACTGCCCTCCCACAGCCCTGATGCCACCAGGATGCCTGCCTGGGAAGCCCTCTCCTTGGCCGCAGGGGTGCCCGCTGCACCCCGGAGCCGGCGGGGAGGCAAGCATCTTCCTTCAGGTGTTTCCTCCAGTGCTGCTGGGGCACTGAAACTCCATCTGCAACTGCGTCCTGATTCCAGCATCGCAGCTGGTGACAGCTAAGCATCTTTTGGCCCTCGCCAGCCGGGATCTGGGTCATGCTAATCAGGCACGGGGAGGCAGCGCTCTGCTCCTCCGTGCATTGGCCCCAGAAGACAGGAGTTCTCCGAAAGGAGAAGTCACTGCAGGGGGATGGCTGGGTTGGAGATAGCTGGGCTGGCTGTTCCACGGCATGGGCTCTCTCACTCCATGCCTGCACATGTCCATGTGCATGTACATGCACAGGAGCGTGTTGTGAGCCATGTCCTGGAGGATGCCTTCTCCTGGGAGCGCCAGCCAGGAACTAGAGACGGGAGATGTCATGGGAGAGGCAGCATTGCCAGGCATCTGGCATGGCCTTGTCAGTGCAGGGTTGGCCTGCAGAAGCTTTGCTTCTGGCGCTCCAGGACCCAGGGGCTGTGGCACCTTGCGATGGGGAAGACTGACCTTTCAACAGGCAGCAGGAGCGGACTCAGGGGCAGGATGGAAAATAAGGCACAAGCGGTCAAAAATAGAAGACTTTATTGAAGTTAAATCCAACAGGGCAGCAGAGCCCGGCCCCACGGCAGGAGCCCAGCCTGCCGCTCGCTGGGTACAGAGTGGAGCGGTGGTCTCCACGGGGCATATGGGGTACAGTGCAATGGGGGAGCAGGTGGTCCTCAGCCCCGGGCCACAGGAGGGAGGCGAAGGCACAGGCGCTCGTCCCCCCTCTCCCTCCCCGGCTATAAGGACAGAGCCGACAGGCGCCAAAGCAGAAACGTGATGCAAGCCAAACCGGCCGGACAGCCCAAAGAAAGAGGATCCTGCAAGCTCCAGAGCCCTCCAGTCACTCCACAACCTCCCGAGACAGCTCCAAGCTCCAGTGCCCACCAGCGAGCAGCCCCGTATGCAGCCAAGACCACCTGTTCCCTGCCCCGCACGCAGCAGAAACCCCCGGTTAGACCAAGCGCGGTGACCCGGCCCCAGCACACGGCAGAGAGCCCGATGCCCCGCACCTCGGCCCCACGCTTCCCAGCCCCGCACGCAATGCTGGCCCCGCCACACAGCAGTGCCCCCAGCGCGGACGCCTCGGACCCGCTTGCTCTGCGGGACTGCGGCTCCCACGGAACCCTCCCGGCTCCAGCCCTGATGCTCGCGCGTGGGGACGCCCGGTTTTCACTGCTTCTGCTCTGGCAAAGGGCCCGAGCCTCAGGGAAGCCCCAACCTGAGCCTGGGAAAGAGGAAGAGCTTTGCTCCCCCCACCAGCCCCACCTGCCCGGGCGGCCACAGCGCGTGCAAAATTCCCTTTCGGGCTGCTTTGCACAGGATTTGGAGAAGGATCAGTCCCACCAGGAGAGCCTGGCTGGCAGAGCAATGCTACCGCCTTCCTCTGGGCCCTCCAGCCCTTGGGAGGGCTTGAAATTGGCTGCTCGGAGCTTCTAGCAGGGAGCAGGACCAGTTCTTCCTCCCCAGGAATCAGCCCCGGGCGCTTGCTGAGGGGTGGAGGGGGGTGGGCACCGTGCTTGGCGGTGCTCCCAAAGCTGGTCCCCAAACCGGGAGCCGGAGGGTCTGGTTTCTTCCCTGAGGCTCCGCATGCAGAGGGATGTACATGCAGGGTCCCCCACATCCCTGAGATCCAGAGAGCGCCACCAGGACCCAGCCCCAGGTGCTCCAGCACGAGATCCCGTAGATTTTGTGTCCCCCCCGCCCCGTTCTCCTCCCTGGTCCCGACCGGGCTCCGTGGCTAGACTCCATGGTCGTCCTTCGCCAGCCCCCCAGGCCACACATGCAGAGCTCAGGGCCAGTCCACGCTCACTCCCACACCTCTGTCCAGATGGCTCCCCGGTGCAGAGGGGGAGCCGCTGCCGGCCTCAGGATGAGCTCTCCTACCTGCTTGTTGGTGTATTTCTGGGGATTGGTGCGGTAGCTGTAGTCCGAGTACTGCTCGGAGCCTGTCGAGTTGTTGTCCCCGGTGCCAACAAAGGTGTTGGTGGCCGGCAGGTCCTGCACCACCTGGTGCTTCTTGGAAGCAGAGGGCGACTGAGGCTGCAGCTGGATGGAGGGTAGAGGTGAGTTGGAGCGGTAGTGGCGCCCCAGGTCCGGGCTCCCTGGCGGGTAGTTGAGAGGCAGGTGGATGCGGGGGCTATCGCTGACGGAGTCGTTCATAAGGTTGAACTTGAGCGATTTCTGCAGCCCTGTCTCCTCCTCATCCTCGGTGGGCTTGGGTGGCTTTGGAGACTTGCTCTTCTTCACTTTGTTCTTGCTCTTACCGCTCTTGCTGGCCTGCTTGGGTGCGTACAGGTCCTTGGTCTCCTTCTTGCCTGCCTGGTAGCCACTCTTGGCCTCCCGCTGCCGGCAGTAGCGCACCAAGACAACCAGCACGATGACCAGGGTGACAGCCACGATGCCAGCAATGACTCCAAAGAGGATGTTGCTTCGTTGCTTGCTGCGCTCATATTCAGGGTCACCAGCAATGTCAATGTCAAGAGGGGTGTCCAGGCTGTGTCCCACCAGCGTGTCCAACAGGGTGCGGTTGGCCAGCGTCTCGTTGACATAGAAGTGCACCAGCGCCGTGCCGTGCCGTGAGGGCTTGCCCTTGTCGTTGACGCGCACCACTAAGCGGTGCAGGCCATGGTGCTTGCGCAGGATCTCCTTCTCCAGGGTGATGTCTCCACTGTGCGGGGAGATCTGGAAGAGCTCAAAGGGGTTGCCACCCATGATGCTGTAGGTGAGCTCCGCATTGACACCAGAGTCAATGTCCTCTGCCTTGACCTTGCTCACCTGCTGGCCAGGACTGGTGTGGGGCAGAATGTGTTTGTAGGTGGCGTTGGAAGGCGAAGTGATGAAGGGGGCATTGTCATTCTCGTCCAACACATTGATGGTCACCCCCACGTAGGCAGACCGAGGAGGGTCCCCACCATCCACGGCCTTGAGTCGGAATGTGTATGTACTCTGCTGTTCCCGATCAAAGGAGATGCTGGATAGGATGGTGCCGGTGCCATTCTGAATCACAAAATCCCCGTTGTCTTGCTCCACCGACAGCTGGATGCGGGCATTTTCTCCTTTGTCAGCATCGATCACCGTCACCATGCCCACAGGGCTGAGGGGCGGCATGTTCTCCATCACCGAGAAGTTGTAGCCGCTCAGCATGAACTTGGGGTCGTTGTCATTCCTGTCCATGACGTTGATGGCCACAGACGCTGTGCCCTTGAGGCTGGGGCTGCCCTTGTCTGCTGCCACCACCAAGAATTCGTAGCGCTCCCGCTGTTCTCGGTCCAGCATTGCTTTCACTCGGATCTCCCCAGAGTCGGGGTCAATGGTGAAAGAGCCCTTGGAGGAGGGGTCCATCACCAGGGAGTAAACCAGCTCGGCGTTGGAGCCGCTGTCGGCATCACTGGCGCTCACCTCCATCACCAGGTCGTCGGGCTCGTTGTTCTCAGGGAAGGCCACCTCAGTGAAGCTCTGGCTGAAGACGGGTGCATTGTCATTCACATCCACCACCTGCACCTTGAGGGAGTTGGTGCTGGATAGGGGTGGGTTCCCCGAGTCCACTGCGACAATCTCAATGGTGTAGTCCTTCACTGACTCATAGTCCAGTGGTGTGGTGGTCTGCAGGAAATACTTCTTCTTGCTGTCGCTTCCCGTTTCACTGGCCTGCCGCAGCTGGAATGGGACATCACCAGCCACCACACAAGTAACAACGGCATTTTCACCTTCATCTCGGTCAGATACTTGCACCAGAGCTACAGCTGTCTCTACTGGTACATCCTCCGAGATGTTCGCCATACCATCCTGGTGGGTGACGAGCCCTATGCCCCGTATCTCTATGGAGGGAGCGTTGTCATTCATGTCCTTGATGGTCACCACCACCTGAGTGCGGGCACTCTTGGGGTTGGCACCCTTATCCTTGGCCAGCACGGAGAACTTAAGGATGCTGACATCCTCCCGGTCGATGGGCCCCTGCACCGTGATGAGCCCCGTGTTGCGGTCCAGGCGCAGCAGACGGCGCACCATGTCTGAGGCCTGGTGGAAGGAGTAATCGATCTCGGCGTTGGCGCCCTGGTCTGAGTCATTGGCTTTCACCTGAGAGACGGAGGGAGAAACTGTGAGAGGGGAACACTGCCTAAGCCCGTCTGCACGAGCCACTGCGCTGCCCTCCAAGGCCTCCGTTTGGGCAGGATGGAGGGGAAAAAAACGGAATTTGCTCTTGTGGGACCAAGGCCTGTGGGGTGAAGAGCCTGGGATTGGGAAGGTGGCTGGGAGCAGCCCTCTGGCAGAGAGGCCTCTCCTCGCTCTTCCAGAGGAACCGGCTGGGCGGGTGAGGCGGTGCTCTGGAGGCTCCAGAGGCTCCGGCACGCAGGGAATCCTCCGGAGCAGCAGGGAAGGAGGGCAGGGCTGCCAGCCCCCTCCTCCCTGCACCGCGCAGGCCTCTCCGCACGGGGCTTGCGCGGCCGGATGGTCCCGCCGGAGCCGGTTGTGCCCTTGCGCCACAGCTGCCTCGCACGGCCCCGGCCTCCGTCCTGCAGGGCCCTGGCCGCCCCTGCCCTCCTCTCAGAAGCATCCTGCTCACGTAAACCCGCCGCTTTCGCCTCTTATTTGCTCTCCAAAGAAGATGAGCTTTGTCTAACTTTCGCCTCCCTAATCGCCTCTCCACGCAGCCTCTTCTCTGCACCATTTGCTGCTCTGCCGTTATCTTGCTCAGCAGATTTGGACGGAGAACGAAAGTTGTTAAATGTAAATTCCACCTTTTACCTCCGCTCACAAAAAAATAAAAAAAAAGAAGGCGGAAGTCATTTTCCCCCTGGAAGATAAAAGCTGCGCCGCGGCGGCAGCGGCTCAGCCCATTCTCCTCCTGGCCGTGCGGCTCCCTTATCTGCTTCCAGCTCCCATTCTCTTAGCGGTGAAAAATGAATTCTTAAAACTCACATCAGAATTAGCAGGCGGATGAGAGCTGGCCGCGCGCCGCTTATTAAGATGGCAGCTGCAGATAAACAGATGTCTGCTACTATCATCTCAATGCCCCCTCCAAGCCGAATCCACAGAGATCCGGCCCCCTCCGGAGCTCCCTCAGCTGCCGCCCGCATCAGGGCAGAGCCGTAGCCAGGGCAAAGCCATGGGCAGCGCCCTGGGCAGACATGGGCCAAGGCGCCTCTTCCCTGTGTCCTGAGCAAGGCCACAGGAATGTCATGTATGAAAAGGTCTGTGTCTTGCCCGCAGGCAGCATTTAAAGTTCCCAGTGGCCCTGGGGTCCCACCCTTCTCCTGAGACCTGAAATCTTGTTCCTAAATGTCCACAGGCCTCTGCTTCTGCCCCTCTGACATGGTCTGCGCTCCCCTTCCTGGCTACAGCTTCCCTCCCATTGTCAACATAGGAGATGTGACATCCCTGTGATGCCACCACTACTGAGCCTAGGATAAGATGACAACTTCCTGCAGCTGGCAGCCCCTCCAGGGTCTTTCCTGGAGGCACTGGGGCAGATAGCAGCTCTTAAATACTGCCTGGGTTGTCCCTGCCACAGCCAGGCCAGCACAGAGGAGAAGAAAGTCCCCAGTGCTGCGGGTACTCACCTGGAGGACGGAGTGCCCTATGGGGCTGTTCTCAGAGAGCTCTGCCTCGTACAGGGCCTTCTCAAACTTGGGTGCGTTGTCATTCATGTCCAGGATGGTGATGCGCAGCAGGGCGCTGCTTGCCCGTGGCGGATTGCCTCCATCCTGCACTTTGATGGTCAGGTCGTAGGAGTCCCACTGCTCCCGGTCCAGGTTCCCCATGACGATCAGCTGTGGCTGCTTCTCATCCTGATCCTCGGCCACCTGCAGCCCAAAGAGCTCCTGCGCCTCAGGGCCAGCCATCAGCTCATAGGAGGCAACGCCGTTGGGGCCTGAGTCACGGTCCATGGCCATGGGGATGGGGAAGAGTGTCCCGATGTTGGTGTTCTCGTGGATGGACAGAGGGATAACAGGAGAGGCAAAGTTGGGGGTGTTGTCATTGATATCGAGCACCTCTATCTGCCCCTCGAGAAGGCGAGGGCTGCTGTTCATTATCAGGTCGGTAATGGACACTTCAAACTCCAGGTAGCAGGGTTCTCCGGGCAGGAGGTGCTGGCACTCACGCAAGCTCTCGCGGTCGATGGAGGTCTCTGTGGTGTAGATGTCCCCAGTCTTGCCATCCACACGTAGGTAGGGGGCCCCCACTTCCAGCTTGTAGAGGTGCCCCATGTCTGGGAAGCCATAGTCAGAGGCCAGGCTTCCTATGAGCGTGTTGGGTGGCTGTTCCTCCTGCACCTTGTAGACCACGCGCGTCCCGGAGACCAGGGCAGGGAGCTGGCAGAGGAGCCACAGGCCCAGGCAGGATGCCAGTGGCTTCATCCTGTGCCGCAGGGGAGCTGGAGGGAGACACAGACACCAGAGGTTAGGGAGCGCGAGCCTCGGGGCTGCAGCCTTCAGCCCTGTGCCCAGCAGGGTGGCACCTGGCCCCAAAGCAGCTTCCCCGAGGGCAGGGGCTGGCAGATCTGGCCCTAGCCCTTGTCTCCGGGTGGTCTCCAGCAAGAAAACGCTTGGGAGGACTGGTCCTCGCTTGCAAAGTCCCTGCAATATCCTGCTCAAGTGCCAACCCAGTCATTGAAACTCCAGCCCTGGCTTCCCGTCGCCTGCAGGAAGCCACTCCTGCCCCTGCCCGCCCTCCTCACCACCACACGAGCTGCAGTTAGACCCAGCGAGGCACACAGACGAGGTGGACGGTGCGCAGCCTCCTGCCCGCAGCCCGCTGCAAGCCAGCCCGCCTTGGAGACGGCTTCCTACCGCGCCGACACGGGCGCGCTGCGTGCCGAGCGCTGCGGGGACGCGCGGGCACTGCGGTCGCGGGGAGAGGGGCACCGCAGGGGTGCGGGGATGCACGGCCACCTGGCACTGCAGGGACACAGGGCACTGCGGGGATGCGGGTGTCACCCATCTGCAGTGCTGGGACATAGGGCACTGCCACAGCAAGCAGTGCTGCGGGCTGCAGGGAGGAGGGATGCAGGGCACCACGGCCCATGCAGCAGCACTGCCATCCATCTCGACGCCGCACTGGAGGAGGGGGACGCAGCGTCCCTGCCCGTGCTACCACCACGGGCCCTGTGGACATGCGTGCTGCAAAGCAGCGGCACTGCATGGCCCCCGTGCACTGCAGCGATGGGTACAGCAACATCTGCCCCCCACCAAGCACTCACTAAGCAACCCCACACATGGCACCAGCAGGCACCTTTAGCTCGCTGCAGACCCCCTGCTCCTTCGCACCCCTTCCCGCCCCACGCTGGGACGCTGCCCGCCCAGCGGGCGCGGAGACAGCCCTGTGCTGCGTGCCGGGTGCGGGTGCCCACCCCAAGGAGAGCACGGCAGGAGCAGTGCCGCCCTGCATTGCAGAGACACTGCACGCGCTGCACTGCAGGCACGCGGCACTGCATCCGCCCGGCAGCCCGCGCGCACTGCGGAGCCAGTGCCGGCCACCCCAGCAGCCCCACGGAGACGCCCCGTCCTGTGCCAAGGCACTTGCCCGGTCACCAGCACGGCGCTGCGGTGCCCAGGCACCAGTTTTCCTCTGCTCCCCGCTCTGGGAAGGCGCCTTCCTTCCTCCAGGCACAGCCACACAGCTTCAGCTGAGCCATGGCACCGCTGCGGGCCAAGGAGGGACTCAGCCCCGCTCAGCATCTCCCAGAGAGCCGGTGGCTTCAACATTCACCCTAAAAAAATCAATAATCACCAGCAGAGCCCCCAGCGCCCATCGTGGCCCCACAGCAACCCGCTCTGGCTATGCCCTTCTCTTCACCCGCCGCGGAGCCTGCATAGGACAGGCAAGCTGTCCTCTCTCACCCTGCTCCGCAGTGCCACATAGCAAGCCCCAAACTCCCGGTCACTTTGGCATCATTGCCCTGCACTGATGGCACTGCCATCAAGTCAGCAGCTCCATGTGCTGTCCCATGGATGAGTGCCACCCAGCTCTCCTCAGTGGCATGGAAAGGCAAAGCCACAGCTCAGCTCTGCCCTGTGCCTCTGGAGCTGGTCCTTGCTCTGCAGCCTTCACGCACGGGGGAAGACGTTCCCAGCCTTACCTAGGTGGCAAAAAGTGAGCAGTGTCACCGTCACTGCCCGGCCAGATGTGCACAGAGCAGGGATATGGCAAGCATGCCATGCACGGACACCTCTGAGACTTCCCTTTCGTCAGATGGAAAATGAGAGAAAAACAAAGTCTTCCTCCACCGCTCCACAGGGCCAGGCACGGAGGCAGGAGGAAGTGGAGCACAAACAGACCGTGTCTCTGCAACAACGCAGGCAAATCCAACGATGGACATGGGTGCACACGTGTGTGCCTGCACCAAGGGAGCGCGTGCATGTGTCCGGGTGTGCACTACGTGCACCCGCACCAAGCAGCACAGTGTGTCTCTGCAGGGAGATGGGGCATGTGTGCAAGTGTGTGGACTAGCAGCCTGTGTGTGTGCCACACGTACGTGCACATCTACATCTGCATGAGGAGGATATGTCCACTGTACATGAGTGCACACTCGTCCATGCACACGGAGCACTGGGGGACCATGTGCATGACGCTGCATGCGATGCCAGCACGCATGAGGGCATTGGCACGCACACGCCGCAGGTATGAAGAGCATGAAGATACACACCATGTACATGTCCACCCTCAGCACAGGTGTGCATCCCATCGCCTGCCCTGTCCAACACAGCAAGGCCTTCAAAACCTAACCCGGTTAGGTTTTGGTATAGGTTATAGGTTTCTATATAGGTTATAAACCTATAACCCCACTTGCACTGCGCTCCAACAGGAACGGTAGCGCGCCAGGGCCAGGCTCACAGGGAGCTCGCAGGTAGCCCTGTCCCCTGCAAGAGGACTCTGGGAGATGCCATTCCCGCAGCCCAGGCTGGAAGAGGCGCCTCCGCGGCAGGACTGTTTGCCCAAGCCTGTTTGCAGTAGGCTGGGCCCCGGCGGCCGCTGACGTAGCGTCGTTCTGACTAAGCCCGAGCACGGGGTAGAGGCTCTCAGGTGTAGGTGAAAGTCCCAGAGCAGAGCAAGGCTTCTGCCCGTGGCGCAGCCCCGGGCCAGCTGTGTCACCGAAGCAGGAGCGAGGCCTGCGTCACGGCGGAAGGGAGTTGCCGAAAGGAGACCAGCACCCATGTTTTCCGCTTTGCGAAAGGGGCTGGCACGCGAAGCCCCGCAGAAACCTGGCTCATCCCTGCCTTGCCTCTGCTGGAGGAAAGCTCCAAAGCCAAAAGACTACAGGGGAGGAAAAAGCAATTAAATAAATAAAGGGTTGGAAGCGTGGGTGGGATCATCGCCCCACAAGGGGCTGCCTGAAGGGGGGTGTAAAGCAGGCGCAAAAAGCTCCAGGGTCACAAGGGTACCGAATCCCGCCTGGCACTTGGGGATGCGAATGACACAGCAGGGATGCGGAGCCCAGAGTGAGGTGCAAGGCGGAGATGAAAGTCTCTCCGGCAGGGAAAAGCAGGTCTGCGGGGAGACAGGCTTCCCATGGGCCTGTCCGAGGTACCGGACTATTTTCCCATGGGATCTAAGGGCCATCCCACACTTTCTTTTCTGGTGCCAGGCACCTTTTTTTTTGTTTTCTTTTTGCTTGTTTTGGTTTTTGGTTTTTTGGTTTTTTGTTTTGTTTTGTTTTCCCAACCTGCTGGCAGTGCACAGAGTACTTAAAAATAAAAACCCCTCCCAAAACAAGTCTTCCTCTGCACACACCGTTCTCCCTATGGGGAGAGCGCAAGCGAGTCTGAACCACATGAGAGAGGCGTTAGTCACGCTGCTTAATGCATGACTGAGAAGCTCTTCAGAGGACAGCGGCATGCAAAATCCGGCCGAATTCAGTCATTCCCCCCAAAACAAGCCCTAATAAAGGAGAGGTTACAAGGCGGTGGGAATTTAAGTACGGGCTTGAACAACCCGTTTGCCCCACAGCCCCGTTTCACAAAGAGCCGGCACTACTCCCCAAGCAGGCAAAGTCCACCCTCTCTTTTCCCTCCCAGTGGCTGATGGCGTGGCTGGAAGCTGTGCTTGCAAGTCTATCCAAACCCCTGCACTGAGCACACAAGTACTAATCCTTCCCCCTCACCCCCCCAAGCTCTGCTGCGACGCTCGGAGCTAAAGCAACATTGGAGGAAGCAGTAAATGCTAATCACGACCCCACTAGCTCCACTCCACGCAAAGGGCCGCGATTGAGGGCGATACTGCCCCCAAACCACCCACTAGTGTCCAGTCTCACACCGAAGACATGGCTGGGCTGAATCCTTGGCGTTATGTAGCACATCCCATCCTTAACATATGGTTTCCTTAGGCTGCAGCCGCCACTGCGGCTGCTCAGCATTTATGCAGGCTGGGCCCGAGCACCCTAAGCGGGAGCATCCTGCGATGAGCAACACGACTCAGTTGGACACAGTGTTACCCCCAGACCACCTATCTGAAGGCCCACAGTGGAGAAAAAAAAAAAAAAAAAATAAACACTTTTCCCCCTCTTCCTTCCTTCACCCGCATCCCCTCCAACTCCTGCAGCCAGCGAGGCAGAGACCTGTCAGAGCCTCCCCCATCCTCCCAGCCCTGCCAGGGCCCCTCCTCGGTGCTGTGGGGCTCCCTGGCATCAACCCCACTCCACTTCCCGACGGCAACAATGTCACGGGCCCCGAACCCCCCCGGCAGGGCCGCAGGAAGCTGGCGGCT